ATAACAATGTATATAGCATTAAACTTAGTGGGCAAAATTGATTTTTCCTTTCTTTTTTGTTGCTGCTGTCTTATCCACATTATTTGTTTGTATATTTTTTGTTATCATTTTTAGCAGCATCATCATAATCATCATCATCATAATTTAATAATAATATGCAAATTTTATTATCTTAGAAGTTTTGTTGTTTGTTTTGTTTTTCTTTTTCATTTGACTTGAAGATGGAAGATTCATTATTGAATTTATTGCATTAAATTATTGATTTATTTTTTATTTGTTTTTTGCATATTTTTAATTTCATTTGCCTAGTATTTACAGTTTTTGGTTTTGGGTTTTATGTTTGTCTTTAAGGTATTTTGTGTTTCTTTGTTTTAAATTATTTTCATATTTTTTTTTTTTTGGGTTTGTAATATTATTTAAATTAACGGCAGTTTTGTTTTATTTAATTAGCATTTATTCCTCTAATATCGTTTTGAGAAAACAAAACATTATTAAACATAATTCACTTTCTTTGTGAGGGGGTTTATTTTAATGAAAAAAAAAAAATAAATAAATTTAAAAATATATAAATCAAAAAAATCAAAAAAAAAAAAAAAAAAACAACGAAGAGAGATTTTTTTGTTAAGACATAATTTTCAGTCTTATGTTAATATTAATTTATTTAGCTTTAAAAAAATTAAATATTTTTTTGTTAAATTTGTTTTGATCGTACTGAGTTCCTGATTGGCCTTTAGTTATGAACTCTTAGTTACCAAAAAAATAAAAAAAAGAGAAAACATTATGAAATCGATCCACTCTATGTTAGTTTTTTATGGACATTGTGAGTGGATATTGAAACTTTAATTGCAAGAGAGAAGTCTGCTAACAGAATATATAATTATCACCAAAAAAGATTTTAGTTTCCTTTTTCTCCTAGTTTCCCTTTTCTCCACAATTTGCGTTAATTTCTCTTTCTCTCTTCCTAAGTAGACAAACTTTTTCACAATCCAGCACCAATTTAGTTTTTTTTTTTGTTCTTCGTCTCACTCTCTTCTAATCATCGATCATCGAACGATAATCGATATATGATTCTTTAAGAGAGTGAAATTTGTTTGGTATAGAATACTATCGATTTTAAAAAGAATATCCATAATATACAATAATATATAATATATAAAGTTCGAGAAGTTTTTATGGATAGTTTTATCTTTCGAAAGGACGTGAGAAGATACAAAACGTTTCAAGAGTTATTTTTTCATAAATTCAAATTTATTGTCTTATTATTCTCTGCTTTAGCAATATTTGTTTGACAAAATCTCTTACACTCCATCATCAATGGGGGTGGTTAATTTTGCATTTTTTGTTTTGCCAAAGTCTTTGGCCACAATATTGATTTTCAAGGGAAAGAGACTTCTGAGAATAAGAATATTTCGAATATCTACTCTAGATCTTTTGTATATAAAAACAAGTTAAAGATGTATACCCTCGGCCAATGTACGATTACTCAAAAATATTTTGACTTCTGTTATGATTATTCAAATGTTTAACCCCTTATGGACTAGGTTCCGAAAGAATGGACCAATATTGGCAATTTCGTATAGGATTATAGGATAAATATTGCGACGTGCCAGGTTTGGACTATATTGTTAAATTCCTTCACTTTACATGACATATATGATAATTTTTAAAAAATGTTAACGTGCGTGAGCTACCAGATATAGTCGATCGAAGCATTTCATTTTCATACTTCATCTAATACATATTAAAAAATATTGGTATGAGCAATTTTATGACCAATTTATGGGAGATCAAAAATTCCATACTCATTTAAGGACTCTGGCTGAGAAACATATATTTAGATTTAGAGCAAGTTATAAAGAATCGCTGAGTTATTTTCTAATGCTTATTTTGGATTTTATGAACAAAAATTTGACCCTTTGTGGGGGAGGTACCAGAAGAAATGGTCCGATCTCTACCATTTTTAACAGATCCTGTGTTGATAGAAATATTTAGATGTGCCAAGTCGAAATGGAATCCGTCCATATTCAAAATTTTGACCTTTTTTGGGGTGGTACCAGAAGTAGTGGACCGATATTTCCCATCTTAATAACAGATCTTGAGTTAATATAAATATTAGGATGAGTAAAATTTGAAGTCATTCGGACTCTTCCAGCACATTTTATGGGAGTTTTAATTATTCCAAAATTTGGCCATTTGTGGGGGAGGTACTTGATGGAGTGGACCGATATTGTCCATTTTCTCACCTGACCTAGCACTGATATATAGATTTGCAAAGATGGAGCAAAATCGCACTATTGTTTCTCTTTCTGTGCAAAAAATATATTTTTTGAAAATTTCAACCTTTTGTGGGGAGGTACCAGGAGTGGACCGATATATTCCACCTTAATACCAGATCTTGTGTTAATATAAATATTGGGATGTGTGAAATTTGAAGACAATCGGACTCTTATATCACATTTTATGAGAGTTGTAATTGACCCTTTGTGAGGGAAGTACTTGATGGAGTGGACCGATATTATCCATTTTAACACCAGATCTAGCTCTGACGCAAATATTAGAATTCGCAAAGTTGGAGCAAAATCGGATTATCGTTCCTCTTTCTGTACAGAAAATATAGTTTTTGAGAATTTCGATCTTTTGTGCGGGAGGTAGTAGAAGGAGTGGACCGATATTGCCCATATCCGAACTAGCCGGACAGACAGACGGACATCGCTAAATCGGCTCCAAATGTCCTGAAACGGATTTGGTTCAAAGAGACCTAGGGTCTAAAACCGTTATTTCGACTAGGCACGTTTTGACCGTATCAAATGATATATACCCCTTCTAGCCATAAGGCTGAGGGTATAAAAACAGTCGTAGAATACAAAGAAAAAGAGAATATTAATTTTCTCTCAAATGTTCTCTTTTGGGATCTCAAGTGCTAGCACAAGGTTTTGAGCAACTATATTATGATTGTTTGTTTTTTTCTTTGTGTTTCGCAAGAGAGGCATAGAGTGGTATTTTTATTTCTTCTTATGTTTGCAAATATGTGAGTCTATTCAGCGTTGTTCAAAAACCAGACCTCGCTCCAATACTCGCCCAATTTTTCTTAGTTGTCAAATCATCAAAAAATCTGTGTTAAAATTTATTTAATGTATACAAATTTTTAAATAATTGGCTTTATTAATAATTTTGGAAAACATTCAAGTTTAAAAAGAATGAATGGATAAAAACTTTTTACTTTTTTACTTTCTCTTAAATAATCTCTTTTTTGGACTCATGTGCTAACACACTGTTTTGAGCAGTAATGGTAAATTGCTGCAATGCTCGAAAGCCAAACCTCCCCCACCAGTCCAATTTTTCTCAGTTTTTAGATGAAAAATCAGTGTTGAAAAGTAATTTATAATTTTTTACAATAATTCGCTTTATTTAGAATTTTGGACGTAATCAAAATTTATAAACAATTGATTTGCTTTTCAACGGCTCTATATGTATTAGAGAGCAGCCTTGCTACAATCTGCTTACGTTTCTACGATCGCGAAGTTTTTAAAAGTTTTTCTTTAAAAAAAAAGCGTTGTCTACCTTTCAAGATGACATTTAAAACATTTTTCTATAAAGGGATGCTCTTCGCTCAAAGTTAGTGTATAATACATGTGCTAAATCATTAAGAGGTTTGCAATTGATGGAGGCCTGGAAAAGACGCAAGCCATCCAAGAAGTTCTCTTGGGAATTAATTCCCATCCACAATGAGGTAAACTAGTTAATAATTCACTCATAAAAAATTGAGACGTAAGTAATGTCTTAAAATGTAAGCCCTTTAGAAAATCAAGCTCTAAAAATGAAATATTTTAAGACATTTTATAATTGAGTCCTATCCCGAAATGTGGTGCCATAATAATATCTTTTATTGCTCTACACTCATACCCTTTCCAAAAATAGGTATTGCTTCTTTTGCCATTTTCTTGTTCTTTCCGATCACCTACTATCCGATCGTCATAAGTTTCTTCTATGGTGAGACAACTAAAATTGCGTGGAATTTGGTAGTGATCCAAAATTTCGTCCATAGCGTGATTAGATGGCAAATATCTAGATCGATCCTTTCCACATATTAGTGTAAGGTATAAAAATATATAATTACCCGGAATTTGGCCACAGTCCAATGCTTTAACTGGATCAGAAAGTGTGACCTTCAGAAGTGTTGTGAAGTGCTTTTTTCAAAATATAAATTATAAAGTTTGATTTTTATTTTTTTCTTATGCAGTTGAAAGATTTGAGATCTTAATGATTGAAAACGGAGCTTTCAATTCTTTTCATGATTTGCAGTTATTATCCCAGCACAAAATTTCAGAATCATAATATGATAAAAAATAAAAAATGTTGCATTTCAAAATTAATTTTTCTTATGTTTTTTGAGCAAATTTCTTTTTTTTTCCATATAAAAAAACAAGAATTTTAAATTAAAATCCTAAATAATACCCCGTTTCAAAATAGTGAATCATGTTTCATATGGTTTTGTTTATTTGTCTTTTGTTGTTTTTTTTGGTTTGTTGGTAGTTCTTTGTTAATTTTAATTGTCTATATAAATTAAAAATTTGAACATAAATTTTATGTAATAATAATAATATTTTCATTATTTATTATTTTGTTTCTTTTTTTAGTAATTTTATTAATAATAATAATAATAATAATTGTAATAATTTAAAATTAATATCTAACATTTCACATCAGTGTGTGTGTTTGTTTGTTTCTGTGTCTCCTCTCTTTGTGTGTTGTTGTTGTTTTTTTATTTATTTCTCTTTTATTTGACTATTAATTTGTTTTATAAACCAATTGTTCTAATTAACCTTTGTTGTTTACTTCTTTTGTTGTTAATAAATTTAAGCTAATTTGATTTATATTATTTTTATAATTTTTTTCTTGTTTAGCTTTTCTTAAAAAAATTGTTTTTGCTTGTTTTTATTTTCTTCTAGATTTTTATATATTTCCGTTTCAGTTATTTGTGTTTTTTTTTTTTTGTTTACTTTAATATTTTTACTAACAGTGATATTTGCTAAATGTTTTCAAATTTATTGAATTTTCTTTTTTATATTTGGTTGTCTAAAAAATTAAATTAAAAAAAATTAAACATAACTATAATAAATATAAATTTATTGTTTTCTTTTACTTCTCGGCTTCATCTGTTGCTTATTTGCTTTTGTTATTTGTTTTCTTTTTTTTTAATTAAATTTATTTTTCCTCTAAAAAAAGAAAACAAAAAAAAATATTTTTACTATTTTGCTTTTTGCGTCACTTTCATTTCTATTCTATTTATGTGTCTTCATCATTTTCTTTTCGTTTTCTCTTGTTTTTTTTTTTTGTTTCGAGTTGTGTTTGTTTGTTTTCTTTTCTGGTTTTGTAATAATAAAAACATTCATAACAGCGCGATCTCTTAGACCGCCTTTGATGTTGTTTCAGGCATCCAGCGTAACATTTCACGACGCCAATTAATACTATGCTCCACGTTTTTTACTGAAAGAGAGATAGAGAGAGAGGGAAAACTATTAATTTTATGCCTGATTAAATTTATTTTTAATTAATAAAAAAATATCACTATTTTTTCACAAAAATTAAATATTAGAAATTAAATGTTGTTTATTGGTAACCTTAAGAGCTTAAATCCCATAAATTGCCACATCGTCTGAAAGATCTGACAAAAATTGCTGGATATCAAAAATGAAGAAGACAAGTTCAACGAAATTCACTTCTTCTATTTTACTAGCAAGTGGTCACTACTTCGTCAGCGAAAAGTCCATTTTATAATTTTAGACTCGCTCCAAAAGTTCGTGTTAGGCCTTTTTAGTACTCAGAACGCACATTTGTTCAGTTTAATTTTTTTTTTCAAAACTTCATTTGGCGTATGAAATTTTCCGATTTTCAAGATTTTATATATTATTCAAATTTTTCCAGTTTCGTTAAGAATAATAGGAAAATGTTTACCTTTTACACTGAAGTGTCTTCAAAATCTTTAATTTTTAAGTTTACCAAGGATATATTGGTAAACCCATTGCTCAATGGACCCACATCAATTTTTTTTGTCCCAAAATATTTCAACTCTATATGTAAACCTTGGAAATTAACAGTGACCTCAACATCAAATTTCAGCCCATCCCGATACGAAATTTAGTAACGCATATTCAAAACAATCTACATCTATCCATTCTAGACACCAAAAGTGATTCGAAATTAGTACAATTTAGTACTTTTCGAATAATTATAGTACGTATTTCCAAAACCAACACCAAATACCGACAGAGGCCACAAAATCAAATTTCGCGATTCCAACTCTATGCGTTCACTCAATACCAAATTAAGTACCAATTAGTAGTTTTGTATAATTTTAGTACATATTTGCAAAACTGTTCCATATCTTAACCTCGGATACCAAGAATGACTTTAATATCAAATTTAAAGATTTCATCTCTTTAATTTCGTCTTATCCTAAACTTAGTAGCATTTAGTACCTTTCGTATTTTTCGAATTTCAGCACTTTTCCTTCACCACATACCAAATTTAGTACCAATTAGTATTTTTCTCACAAATATAGTACAAAAATTCAGAACCACATTCATACCTCAATTCCAAATAACAAGAGTCCGCAGTATCAAATTTGAGAAGTCCAGCTCTATCCCTTCACCCAAAACTCAATATTATACAATTTAGTACTTTTCGTACAAATGTAGTACACATTTTCAAAACAACCTCCACATCTCAATTCCAGATATCAACAGAGTCTTCAATATCAAATTTGAGGATTCCAGCTCTATCCCTTCACCAAATACTAAATTTAGTACCATTTAGTACTTTTTGTACAAATATAGCACGAATTTCCAAAACCACCTCCATATCTCAATTCCTCAATACCAAAGAGTCCTCAATACCAAATTTGAGGATTCCTACTCTGTTCCTTTACCCAATACCAAATTTATTACCAAACTTAGTACCATTTAGTACGTTTCGTATAATTCAAGTACATATTTCCCAAATCACCTCCATATCTTAACCACGGCTACTAACAGAGACCTCAATATTAAATTTGAGGATTCCAGCCCCTTCACTCAATACCAAATTTAGTACCGTTTAGTACTTTTCGTACAAATATAGCACGAATTTCCAAAACCACCTTCATATCTCAAGTCCAAATACCAACAGAGTTCCAATACCAAATTTGAGGATTCCTACTCTGTTCCTTTACCCAATACCAAAGTTAGTACCAAAATTAGCACAATGTAGTACTTTTCGTATAATTCAAGTACAAATTTCCCAAATCACCTCCATATCACCTCTTAACCACAGATATCAACATAAAATTTGAGGATTAGGGATGGAATCCTTTTACCTAATACCAAATTTAGTACCATTTGGCACTTTTAGTACAATTATAGTACACATTTTTGAAACCACCTCAATATCTCAATTACAGATACCATCAGTAATCTAAATATCAAATGCCACAATTTCAACTCTATTCCATCACCCAATACCAAATATAGTACCATTTTGTACTTTTCGTACAATTCAATACACATTTTCATTTTCTCCATATGTCCAGGCTACACATAAACAGCGGCCCCAGATTTCAAGCACTCTGTTCACTCAATACTAAATTGTACCAAATATAGTACTATTTAGTACTTTTTTTACATTTATAGTACCCGTTTCTAAAACCTTACTTACTTTGCAACCTTGATTCTCTTGCCAAATTGTAAGTTTTTAGCTTTATGCTTTCAGAAAATATGAAATGGTGTCATTTTAGAAGTTTAGTACCATTTTAAAACTTTTTGAAACCTTAAAGTTCGATTTTCCCATAACCCTTTGCTACATCTATCCTGCACTCCATTCCAAATTTCAGAATTCCAGCTCCATCGGTTCATGACAATTCCTATTTGTACCACATTTAGTACCATTTAGAATACATAAGTACAAATTTCCAAAGTATCCTACATACCCCGATCATACATTCCCACAGTAATCCCAATTCCAAATTTTTGGATTACATACCCGTTGGTTCTTCCAAATACGACATTATAGCACATATATGTACAAATTTCCAAAACTATCTACATATCCCAATCCTATATTCCGACAGTATTTTTTTCCAATTTTCAAGATACCAGCTCTATTGTTTCACCTCAATCCAAATTGTACCATAATTAGTACCATTTAGTACACTAAAGTACAAATTTTCATAACTACCTACATCATTCAGTCCAATTGAAATCTTATTTTCAAATATCAGGATTCCAACTCCACCGGTTCACCCAAAATCTAAATTGTACATTTTTTTAAAACTAACTACATACATCAGTTCTACATTGCAATCGTAACATTATTTCAAAATTTGAGGATTCCAATTTTATTGGTTTTCCCCAAAAATTAAATTATACCCAATTAAGTACCATTTAGTACACTTAAGTACACAATTTCCAAAACTACCTACATACCTCAGTCCTACAATGCAATAGTAATATTATTTCTAAATTTCAAAATTCCAGCTCTATCGGTTTACGTAAATCGAAATTGTGCCAAATTTAGTCCCATTTAGTACTTTTCGTACACATAAGTACAAATTTCGAAAACTTCCTCCATATCCCAAATCTCCACTCCTCCAGTAATGTTAATTTCAAATTTCAGGATAACAGCTCATTCCCTTCCACCCAAAATTAAATTGTACAAATTTAGTACCGTTTAGTACTCGTCGTATACATGAGTACACATCTAAAATTACCTCCTTACATCAACGCTACTCCTCGACCTTGATTCCCACTCCAAATTTGCAAAGTTTTTAGCTCTAACCATTCACATGATACGAAATGGTACCAAATGAAGTACAATTTAGTACTTTTCGTACACTTATGGTGCGAATTTCCAAAAACTCTTTAGTACATCCATGGAATACTCCATCTGTGACCTCTATTCCAAACTTAAGAGCTTTAGCTCTACTTCCTCTTCCTCATAAATAAAGGGTATCATATGTAGTACCTTTTAATACTTTTCCTGCGAATATCCAAAGACCCAGCCTTATCTGACCCCTTTGGACCAAAAACGACTCTTATGCAAAATTCCAATATTCTAGATTCAGCCGTTTCGTCTAGGTGTTGATGAATCGTCAAATGCAGTACATTTTAGTACTTTTCGTACACTGAAAGTGCAAATTTCCAAAAACCCTTTGGTACATCTTTTATACATTCAAACAGGACCCTCATTCATAATTTAAGAGTTGTAGGTCTACTTCCGCTTCCTCAAGTACAAAGGATCCAAAGCGACCCTCATTCCAAATTTAAGAGTTCTACTTCCATCGTCAAATACAAATGGTACCATATTTAGCACCTTTTAATACCTTTCGTACGAATTTCCAAAAAAAACCTGCCTTATCTGTCTCTTTTAGACCAAGAATGACTCTCATCCATAATTTCAAGATTCTAGATTCAGCCGTTTCATCTGGGCGTTTATGAATCGTCAAACGTAGTACATTTTTGTACTCTTCGTACACTTAAAGTCCGAATTTCCAAAAACCCTTTAGTACATCTATCATAGGCTCCATCAGTGACCCTTATTCCAAATTTAAGAGTCTGGGCTCTACTGCTTCCTCAAATACAAAGGGTACCATATTTCGTACCTTTTAATACCTTTCGTACGACTTTCCAAAGATCAAGCCTTATCTGTCTCCTTCAGACCAAGAATGATTCTTATTCAAAATTTCAAGATTCTAGCTTTAGCCGTTTCATCTGGGCGTTGATGAATTGTCAATTGTCGTTCAAAATTCAAGGCTCAAAAAAGGTTTCAGCCGTTTCGATTGGACGTTAATGAGTCAAACAGATTTTGAAATATTTTTAATTAAAAAATAAATAGATTTTTTCAATACTTACCCAGTAGTCAGACATCGGTTTCAATACTGACCGCCATGGCACTATTGTGCCTCTGATTTAAATTGCTAGACCCTCGAATGCCATTCTGTTGAGGTTGTTGTTGCTGTTGTTGTTGTGATTGGAGCTGCAGCTGTAGCTGCTGTTTTTCGAATGACTGTTGAGTCCTTAGAAATGGCGCTAAATGACGACCTGGATGATCAGTCAGGCCCGGTGTACCGATGCCATCATCTAAATCCATAATATCTGACGATGATTCAGACAAGGAAGATTTTCGATAATGTTGACCTGTGAGGACGACAGATTACAAGTGGATTAGATTTTTGTTTTCAAATATTGGAAATAGTTTACACAGAGAAGAGACAATGGGAAACTATTCTACAAAGAGTACACTAAGAGAGAACGGGTAGAGAGAGACAGTGACAGAGACAACAAAAGGGTGACAGTTACCTAACGCACCAGGCATATATGAACAGCTTGTAACGTGATTGAAGTTTTGACTTTGCATCTCCTCTTGATCCGTTTCGCGATGGTAGAAATAATTGAAATTACTCACAATAACGGGTACGGGCAGAGCGATTGTCAGCACACCAGCTATCACACATAGCGAACCAACGATTTTGCCCCAGAAGCCAACGGGTCTGTAGATGGTGTTTTTTGTTTTTTTTTTAATTTAATGAAAAATAGTAAATATTATTTAAAAATATTCAAGAGATTTTCAGAAAGAAGGGGTTAGAGAAAGAAGGATAAAAAATCATACAAAAAACAGAAAATATTAAAAACACAAAACAAAGGAACGTGGGAAATAAAATTTTAGTTTTTTTTTTAAGAAAAGAGAAAGGGAGAGAGAGACAGAGATTTACAAAAAAGAAAACAACTCAAACGAAACTCCAAAGTAAAGACACCAATTTACAAAAGACTCAAAGAAAAAAAATGAATTTCAAAAAACTAATGAAAATTTGTTTGAAGTTCTAAAAAGAGATTTAAAACTAAACGAAATATTGAAAAAAGAAATGAAAATTTACACTTAAAGTTCAAAATGAGCGACATTATGAGAGTTAGCGAATGAATAGATACATATCTAAAGAGATCGACAGAGAAAGAGAGATAGAGAGAGAGGGAGATAGTTACAGATACAACGACAAATATTTGCTAATGAATGAGAGAGAATGAGAGTTGAAATGATGATCAGTTAAATGTTTGTTATGACAAGAGCTTTTGAAATACAACTCAAAAGAGGGAGACATTTATATAACGAGCGAGCGAGCGAGAGAGAGAGAGAGGGGGGGCTTTACACATTTCATGAAACAATTAGTGATTTACTGAGGGCGAGCGAGAGATTTGTTTTAAATTATGAATGATACACTCAATCAATTTCGTGGACACTATGTTCTCTTCGGGTTTTACTCTCGGTATTCGTTGAAAGTCCATCTCATTGTTACAATTCTTTTACTGGTTGCTCTTCTAGATTTCCTAAGGCTACAGGATCTGTATTCGGTGTTATTAATACACTCACACACATATAAATAAATATATTTACCATTTTCTTTCATATTTTTTTTAAATTATTTACATACTTAATAAAAATTATAAAACATTAGCATTCAATAAATCGAAAAAAAGCTTTAAGTTATTTTCTCTTGCATGGCAAAGCTTTATTTATTTATTTCTTTTAATTCTCAAAGGCAAACTCGTGCTTAATGGCTCTTTTAGAACTAGCTAGCTTTTTTTTAAAATCAAACATAACTTTCAAAAGCTCATGCATTTGCAAGGTGCTTTCGTTATAAAAGTAAGATGATCAAGATTTGTTGATGATTATTTGTTTTTTCTTCTTGGGGGTTTTGGGGGAAAAGTAGAGGGCTAGGGGGTGGTGGTGGTAGTGTCATTGAAAATATTTTTTTTTTTTTGGTGAAATAGATGATTTGCTCAATATGAATAATTTAGCTTTTTCTAGATTTTTTTTGGTGTTTGCAGATTATTTTTTTCATAAAAAGTAATAGTGTAGACACAGATAGAGCTTTCACAATAAAAACTTAGTTTTTGCTACAGAATGAAAAAAGTTAAAAAGTTTCAATTAGATTTTGTATATAAAAATATCACGTTTGTCACTTACCCAATTACCTGGATGTTGTTGCATGGCCTCCGTAAGGTTGTCAATATTTTTTTTGTTTATTTTTTAACTACTAATTTCATGGAAGTAACAAATGGTATTCAAATATCATTTAAAAGAACACATAATGCTATGTTGCCTAAATTATTAATAAGCCTTAATATTTTCCACTTGATTCTAAACAAATAAATGTGAAGCGTTAATATTTAAGCATAGCTGAGCTTCCTATAAGTTTAACTAAAATAACATTTTTGGCACTATTTAGAGCTAAATGGTTTGAACATTTCTAACACCTAACCAACAAATGAATGCTTAACCAAATGTTTAACCCTAGATAGACCTGTCAAGTAATATATTGCCTTGGGAGTTAAAATATGTTCCCAGATTATTGAAAAGAAGGGCTTACCCTGGCTGGAGAATTTATAATTTTGTTCGACTATGTAGAGGCAGGATGAAGGAAATTATTTTGGAAAATCTTTTAAGGATGGTTTCGTCCAACAGAAACAGTAATAATTATTGGGAGAACCTACCAGATTATGAAAATAGAGAGTCTAAAAATGGCTTAAAAACTAATTATCGGTTAAAATTCTACTATGGTCCCCAGAAGACGTCGAACACTTTATATTTTTATCAAATCACACATTTTAGAGCTTTTATCCGAAGTTATTTTAGAAAGATGATGTCGAAGACAAAAATATTCTTCATGAAATATCACTATAAGTTACGAAAGAAAATAAATCTCTATTTCCAGTACTTATCAGGAAAACATTTGGTTCAATGTTGCAAATCATTGAAGGTGAAAATATATCCTATATTTTACTTTCGATTTTTCCTCAGTGTTTCTTATCATTTGATACCATTTGATACGTTATATATCATTTGATACGACCAAAACGTGCCTCATCGAAAATAATGGGTTTGGACCTTAGTTCTCTTTGTACGAAATCCGATTCAGGACATATGGAGTCAATCTAGAGGTGTCCGTCCGTCCGTCTATCAGTCTGGCTGGTACGCAAACTGTCGAAGGTAGTATCCATCGTAATATTTCTGGCAGCATAGAAACTGGTTGCAACAACGGACATAACAGACCACTCCTTCTGGTACTTCCCCCGCAATGGGGTCAAAATTTTTGATAACAAAAGGCTCATAAAATGCGAAGTAAGAATCCGATTCTCTTCAAATTCCACGCATCCAAATATTTCTTCTAACACAAAATTTGCTGTAAAGACGCGAAATATCGGCCAACTTCTTTAGAAACCTCCCCCACAAAGTGGTCAACATTTGTCGAGATCAATCTATATTTAATTTTATATAGGAATCTAGTATTTTAATGGGAATTGGTTATAATTTGGTATTTATGGTTATTTGGTATTTATGGTTAGCATTTGGCATTGGAATTGGTTATAATTTGGTATTTATAGTTCTCATTGAAAATGCCAACCCTGGAAAATAGAGTGTAGGTTTGGTCTAGCCCTAAATTTGTTTTCCGATTCCAGGTATATTTTTGGGGGTTTCTACTTATTTTGGTCAGATATCTTTTACAAATTTATATTTAGAGATTTCAATTGATATTAAATATCGTAACACAAAGTATCCTCATCGGCTTTTAATTGGATATGAATACTACATATAACGGTACTATACGAAATTCGGAAATTCGAGGGTTTAAAAACATTTAATAATCATATGGATATTTATTTTCTAATATTTTCATTCCAGAATGGTGGAGTACATCAATAGTCTGTCTCTACCGAACTTAAAGCCTTTTTTACTAGTTACAGATACAATTGGACGATAATTAAGGGCTTTAACAGAAAAATGTAAACAAGTGGAATTGTCCATGCCGTCCCCCATATGGACATCTTGTTTTGGTCAAATCAGTTATCCACAAAATCCCGAACATTTATAAGGGAGTTGTATTTAAAATGCTTATTTTTGGAAATAGAGCAAAAACTTTCTTTTAGGAATTTAGTAAGATCCTAAAGATTCAAGGATGAGTCGTGTAGCATAGTGGTGAGAGTGCCCCCTGACTTTTCCTCTCTACAGCAAATTCATATCACTCATCACGAAAGAAAAATAAAACAGTTAGAAATAATTTGGGGGTCAGTAGGTGAAGCCACTAAAAAATTAAAAAAAAAAAAGATTTCTTTTTACTTTCTATGACCACATCTAAAGATTTTTGATTTTTAAATATTTTTTCTGAAATTTCAAATTTGCGATTTTTTTATTAATTTGTGTTTCGTGGAGAATATTGAATCTTCTTGAAGGACATTACAAATATTTTCTAAAAATATTATAAATTTTTATTTATTTTAAATTCTTCAAATAAAGGAAGTTGTCATTGCCTCTGCAGGGTAATTTTTACATTTTCTATCAAGGCAATATTGGCCATTTCCAAGATAGTTCTTAAAAAAATCCTTTGAAAACTACTGATAAAATCATACCGTTATATTGGGTTCTATACGAAGACGTTGATCTGTATATGCAACTTTTTTCACAAGCCACGACAATATTCAAATATGAAACTTGATCGCTAAAATAATCAAAATACCAAATAAAGGAAGCCAACGATACATGGGGGCTATACAAAGATCTTAAATTTTTTGTCAGAGGTTGTAGTACCCATTAGAAAAATCAAATACGATATTTGATACAATTCCAGTCAATAATGTCGATGAAATCATAAAAATGCCGAATATCGGAAGGTACCGTTATATAGGGGCTGTACGAAAAAGTGGACCTATATAGTCAACTCTATGCAAAGGTATTTCGTACATAAAAGCAACACATGCTGCCAATTTACAACAAATTCGGTTTAAAACTTTGACTAAAACACCAAAAAAAAAAAAAAAAAAAAAAAAAAAACAGTAAAGAAAGTCTAAAAGTCGGCCGGCACGACCTTATGATACCCTACACGCCTTTGCATATTTAGTACAGCTTCATATAACAAATCGGTTGAACAATATATGGGAGCTAAATCTGAACCAATTCGACATACTTGTTTCTAGGGGTTGCCCATATTCGACGGACCTTTGGGCCCATTCCAATCGACGAGGCTTGTCCGCAGGCAACATTCTTTGCGTCAATTGAATTTTGTACGGGAACAAATGCAAATCAATGCGAATAATCCGTTGTAAAGTGGACCGAGCCATGCCCAACTGCTGAGAACGGCGTTTTTGGGATGTTCTTGGGGATCTCTCAAAACTGGCTCGTACGGCAGCGATATTCTCGGCCGATCGTCTTGGTCGACTTTTATATGGCCTCTTCGGATTAGAAAGAGCCTTACCAGTCGAAAATTTTTCGTATAAACGCTTAATGGTGTTCTTAGATGGCGTGTGATTCTCACATTTTTTGGTGGTGTTCTCACATTTTTTAATGTTTTAAAAGCACGTTGAGTTTTCACAATTGACTTCTTGTAAATTTCAACTATTTCAGAGCGCTCGCGTGGCGTGTACTGGTTCATGGTAAAAATCTGCTTGGATTGACGCTTCAAACGCGGTATGTCATTAAGCGATGTGACATCTCTGTCAA